TCAACAACTCCTCTTCCTTTAACTCAGAAATCCCAAGCCTTTTCGTAACTGAAATAGTGGAGGAGCCAGGGGCTCCATGGAGTCCACAAGAGGCCTTACTTCTGCCACTTAGTTTTCCATGAAAAGTAGTCAGCTGCTGCATTACATGCTCTAAAATACTCCGTTTAAGAAATATTGGGATGAAGACTGTAGAAAAGCTTGACTAGAATAAATACATATAACCTCTTGTGAATTTGCTGTGGTATTCCTGACTTAGCACATGGAGCTGTGTGCTAAATAAAATCAAAAATTTGGTGGTTCATTCTAACTTCTGTTGCATGAAGCTGCTCTGTTGTTTTGTCACAGCTATGGCCCTATTTTCTCTCCTAATTTGTTGTGCTTGCTCAGTGAAATTGAATTGCACATCATTTAAGTCAAGTCTCAGAGAAGTTGTTTTGCTCCGTGCAAATGGCTTTTTCCTCCAGATGTGACAGGCAGTTAAGAGCTGCCTCATTTTTTTCTTAACCCTTCTGAATCATCTTGAAATCCTGTGGCTGCCAGAGTGCTGTCGTTCTTGCCCCATAGCCAATTTTCTCATGCCTGTAAGCTGTCATGCATGTAAGTCACAGCATGCACTGCACAGGCTCCTTCTGTAGGTTGCTTTGGTTTGTTTGGTTTGCTTTCTTGTCTGTTTTAACAAGGACTGAGTAAAATTCAGGAGCACAACAGCCCCTGGGAGATGTCACTGCTGGAAGCTCCTGTGGCAACTTGGCGCCGGTGAGAGTGCAGCCCTTCATGTTTGCGGCTTCAGATGTCCCAGCCTTGCATCTTCAGCCTAAAGCAGTCAAGAGAGCCTGTACCCTGGCCATTTCCCTTCACCCTGCTTGTTTCATTTGGGAACACAATGAACTGTCAAAATTTCCTGCCTTGTTTCCACAGAATCCTTCCTTTTGCTCTAAAAGGGATTATTTATCTAAAACTGCTAATAGCAAAAATTGTCCGAACAATTGTTTAGCTTGATTTTAAGGTGGAGAGCAAAGAGATGTAAAGCTCTGGTGGACTGATGAAAGTTGCCCTCGAAGTCCTCTGTCAAAATGACAAAAAGAAAGTCTGGTGTGTTGCCATGAATGGCCCTCATCTCTTGGACATTAAAAACCATGTGATATGTTGTACATCTGGTGCAATTCCTATTCTTAGTGTCTCTGTTGAGTGTAGTTAGATGTAATTAAAATAGGGAAGTATATAAATGTTTTCCAAATATGTGAGCCAAGAAAAAATGGAGGAAGGGAGGTGTGGTTGGTTTAGCCCGCCATCATTTCCTAACTAATCTTCCTCTAATGATGTAGAGAGAGACTAGGTGGCACCTTGTGAAGTATTTTGAAATAACACATTCATGAGGTAGAGCTACTTGATAACATCTTTGACTCATCAGAAACTTGCCTTCCCTGAGGATAAAGTTAATAATCATAGAATATAAAGATTTTAGTGGCTTTTCCTAAATGATCAGGGACGCAGATTTATTGTGCATATAGATTCCTATAGTGCTAGAGACAGCCCAAACATATTATCTGTAGAAAATGTAAAATAGCCGATTGGAATCATCAGTAATTTGCCATGACTTCAGGTCCTTGGCTTTGCTAGTTGAGTAAAACTCATTCACATTTCTTACTAATGGCATCATTACCTCCCTTGCTTTCTCTCTCTTTGCTGGAGTTGCTTGTCTGGATAGTGTACATAGGTTTCTGAGTTGGCCGGTCTTTAGTTTGGTATGAAACATCAGCAACACCATGAGAGGAAGCTGGACTACCAGTAAGAGGCAGGTAGCTGGACCACAGAGCAGTTGGGGCAGGAAAGGTGACAGTAGTAGTGAACCTTATTTAAAATAGTTTTAGCTGTATGTACCTGGTATTTCTCAGCTTTGTGTTATCATCAAGTGGTACTAGTGCTTTTCTAATTCTTTGTCAAGATCATCAATAAAAAATCTTTAGGACCATTCCCAGTATGAGTTTTCTAAAGATCACAGAGTTTCCAAGAAAAGGTTTCCTTTCAGTGCACCTCGTTATCTTCTAGTCTTTTCAAACTTCAGTTTTTGTACTCATCTCTTACCTTCTCTTATATGTTTGACAAAGTCCATATGGTTGAATAGCACTACAGTATTGAATTTTTTCCTGTTGTCTAACAGTTAGCTGTTTTGTTTGAGGTAATTAAGTGTGTCGTATGGTTTACTTTAGGTAAGCCCACATTGTGTTTTCTTCCATGTTCCAGTTGTCTACCTACCTTTAGTGTTCTCTTCTCCAAGATCTGGGGTCATACTGTTGAGATCAGAGTTAGGCAATCTTTCAGTACGTAACTGTGTACGATTTTGTTACTCTGTAGTACTATGGTACCTCACTTGATCTAATAGATATATTATTTCATGTCCAAAGAGAAAATCAGTCTTTCTGGGTTTACAGTATTATATGTCATGGATGTTTTTTTCAGATTTTTGGAGTTTGAATTTCTCTTTTTTTTTGAAAGTATCTGTTGATTTAGTCACAAGTGACATGTTTATCAGTGTGTTAATGCAGGGGACTATTTGCAGCTTCCTGTTAATTCATTAGTGCCTACAGAAAAACAAAAGCCTTGGTCAAGGCATGCTCTGAATTTACATTCATTCTTAATTTGCTGATGCCTGTATTAGTAACAGGCTCAAGCCTGCCTAATTTTTTTGAGTCTATATAATGTGTACCATATGCTTGCCATTCTTACTCTTTCTGCACACACCAGCCAATCTGATGAGGCTACCTGTGACAGAGAGCAATGCTTTTAAGTCTGGGTGCTGCTTTATGGGCTCTGGCATGTGCGTGCTGATGAATCTTGCTTTGGTGTTTTACAAAGTCTCCAGTTATCTGCTCCACCCTTCTGCCCTTTAACACGAGTATTACAGGGAAATACATTCATATACCTTCATTGCCACAGGTTGCATGTAATTTTAAACTGCTGATGAAGGTAGACCTATGGTATTATCATACCTTTGAAGTGGAACAGCTGAAGAGTAGGTAGAGGTTTGCACCTCCTGCCTCTGCTATCAGAAGGGGTAAGTGGGGTCAACAACATCTTGAGTTGTTTTGGACTGGTTCCTTAGAGTGAGGGGTTGGCAAGCGGGAGCTGAGAACAAGGAACACATGTTCTGTCTCTGGAAACAAAAATGCTAAGTGAAAGAGTGAGAGAAAATAGATTTGTATTTATAATCAAAAGTGACTGTGTTTGAAATATTCTTAATTTGCGTGCACACTCATATGTCTTTCGTACCTCTGAGGACCCCTAGAAGGCACGGAAGTTTTTCTCTGCCTCAAATATTTACCTTAATAATTCTACTTGGCTTTCTTCCCTTAAACATAATTGTAAGCATATTTAAAGCGAACATTAGATAGAAAAAAATAACAGCATCTAACTAGGTCCTTCTTTTACTCTCCAAGATGTTTTCTTGTTTTTAAACACAAGCAGTAGAGGCCAGGAGTAACAGCCAAATTCTTAAATTATTGTTGTTTAGGTGCTATATTTGTATATCAGAGGAAGGACAATTCAAACTAACTAATTCACAATTTCATTGCGAAGTTTGAGAGAACTACAGTGAGAGCTGTGTAAGGACGTGCAGAGGGTATGCTTTCAACACTGTGGCCTCTGTTTCTGCAGAAGGGGAATTGGTATAATGAAGAACTAGAGTACTTTAATTAGAACCTCTAAAATCTCCAGACTTTGTCTTATTTAAGAATTTTTAATATTTTGGTCTTGTTAATTGTCTGTAAAAAAACAATTGCATTGCACTATTTAAAGTTTTGGAGATATAAAAGTTACATCTGCTTCCCACTACTGCCTATTTACTTGGAGAGAGATTTTGTGACTCTTACTCATCCTGAAGAGCATTTTTCTCCTTAAATTAGATTTGCCTATTTCATCAATATTACATAGTTTAGGTCAGGAACTAATCAATCTAAATTGCCTAGCAATACTAATTCTTAGTATTGTTTTGTCACTTTATCATATTTGAATATATACCCTAAAGCTCTAGAGTAATGCTCATCTGAGAACATCAGGTTTCACTTACATAGAGCAGCTGCAGTGTTTGAGGAGAAGGCTTACATTTTCTGGAATGCTCAAAGAGCAGAAAGTAAAACAAAAACAAACAATCAAGCAAAAAAACCCCACAACACCCAAACCACATAACTTTAAAAACAATCTTCATACTCTTTTGGGGGGGCTTTTTCATCACCTAATGATTTTGAGACCAGTCCCACAACTTTGGAGGTCAGTTGGATTGTGAGCCTAGTCCAAGGTTGAGACCTTTGTGTGCAATACCATGTCAGTCAGAGTTCAACTGTTCTTGCCTGGGAAAAAAACAGACCTCTGCACTACTCCTGAAGCAGTGAGAGTCTGCTTGCTGGTCAAGAAGCTGTTCAATAATAATGGCCCATCTTCGCGAACGAAGATTTGGGGAAAGGTCTTTTACCTTTCCAGCCTGCGCAATGGATTTTTTAGGTGAGACACAGCCTGCGCTGAACTGAGCCCACCCTTTAATCCTAAGGTTCATCTGCCGGGGCCAAGCAAGCTTGGACAATGGCAGTGAGGTCCTCAGGACGTAGGTTTGTTTAGAGTGTCCTTCTCATAGATGGATGGCCACACAGGGCTAACGACCTCCATCAGGCCAGGAGACCGGGATTTGAACCCGTGGTCGCAGCAGTGAAAGTCCTGCACGCTAACCACTAGGCCACCAGGGGTCTCAGCTGTTCAATAGGATAATGTTGTATCATTTCATCCCAGCCAACAATGAAGGGTTTTTTGTGCCTTTGTTCTGTTAAGAGGATCAGCTGTAGTGCTTTACCCAATTATCCAGGGATGCCATGGAAGATGATTTTTGGACCTTAGTTTTCCCACTGGAGGAGTGTAACGTCATCACTTTGTATAAAAAATAGATTTAGATCTAAACAGCAGAGAAAGGCAGCTGTCCCTCCTGATGTCTCTGGGGATTTTGTGTTTTGCAGGAGATGCACGGGTGAGAGGTCAGACAGGGGTTCTCTCCGAGCGCCGTGGCTCCTACCCATTTATAGACTTCCGTCTTCTTAACAGTAAGTGCAACCCTTTCTTCAGGTCTGTATTTAAATTAAAAAAACCCTAAAAATCTCTGTTTTAAGTATATGAACCAAAAAGTATCTCATCTCATACGTATCTGTAGTTCAGCTGTCTTCACACAGTCAGCATTAGTAATTCTACTTTTCCCATCCAGTGTTTGGCTGTGAAATGTTTTGATTGTATGAATAGTGTCCATAATGCTCAATCCGTCAAGTGTAAATACAGTAGGGCCATGGGGTATGCTGAGCGGGGGGAGAGGGGGTGGTTCAGAATTAAAAAGATAAACCCCTGTGTCCTTTAGCCTCTTAGACAACAGTTGGAACAGATTTATATGAGTCTGTTATCCGGTCATATAGAATTGGCACAGAAGGGGACCATGTGACAGCGCTGACCAGTGGTTTACAATAACATTAATTTTTCCAACAATTAGAACCCAATCCAAAGCCCCATGGAGTCTTCTCATTGACGTCAATGGATTTTGGGTCAGGCCAGCAGTGAACATCTGTTAAAAATAATCTTAACCTCATTTTGATTGAAGTTATTTTGCCACTGTTGTAAATAAAGAAGGACAAATCTAAAAAGAAAAATAATAAATCAAGACCCTGTTGGGTTTTTTTCACCTGATGGATTCTCTATACTGATGCAAACTCATTAGGCAGTGTGTAAAAAAACAAAATAAAATAAAAAAACAGTGACCACTTAGTCTAGGTCCCTGTAACATTCAACCTGGATGCTGTGTTAACTTCAGTTTTAAGGCACAGGCAGATCTTGATTTATCCTTGTGTACTGCACAGACCCCGCTGTGTAACCTTTGAAAAAAAATGTTATTCATTTGATAGCAAAGTTCTGCTATCAGTAAGACTGATAGAAGGTATTTTCTGGGTCATAAGACCATCAGAGGGTTTGCTATGGCTGAGGTAGAAAGATATCAGGGGTAAGATGGGTCCATCATTTTTCCCAGGACAAAGGGAATAACTTACTGGTTAAGCAGAGCTTTGAGGATAATTTAGTCCTGACTCACCATTGAAAAACATGAAGGAAAACCCAGTTTAGGCTAGCTAGAAATAGTACTGCTCATGCCCTTATAGACTGAGAGAAAATTAAGCACTTCTTTTTATTTGTGAAGTAGAGGTGGATATATATTCACACAAGTCATATATATAGTCACACAAGTGTGACTAAATTAATTATTTCTTTGTTATTTTGATACATACACATTATTTAAAATTCCATTCATATGTTCTTTCCTCTCCATGGTTAAAGAAAGCAAAAATTTTCCAGATTTTTTTTCTGGCAATAGGGCTTTCACTTTTATCCCCTGTAGATGAATCCTGCCATCTTTCAGATCCTGTCAGCTTCTGGGAAATGCTGGTGCTTTCCATGGGCTGTCTAGAGAGACATCTGTGGTGAATACTCAATCTTTGATCATGCAAGGAGCAGGGCACTCCACATAACCCCTCTACCATAATTGCTGACCTTAAAAGCGATGCCTCTTTGTGTGTACACCTCTGGTCTGACAGAGGTGAGGCACCTGGGGTTTTATATTCCTGTGCTCTCTGTCATGGAGACCTCTGACTTACTCTTTTTACTGCTTTTCCATAATCTGAAACCTGTGTAAGGAAAAGCAGTGATCCTGATTTTGGATTTCTCACTGTTTTCAGGTTTTTACGTATTTACCGTTTTCTGTCTAAAGCGTAGTGTTGGCTTAAGTTTTCAGTACAAAATGAAGTGCGATTTCTAGACATTTGACTACTGATTTTATAGATGGCGAGTGCACTGGACCTGGCTCACTTGGTAAATGTAAAGTAAATTACAAGTAAATGAAGATGCTCAGTGTCAGAGCATGCAGACGTGTTTTGCCAGGAAGTAAACAGGCTTTTATATTATTTGTTCATCTACATCTGTCTGTTAAACCCACTTCTGCTTTGCATACCATACAAGCAGCAAAAACCATGGTGCTGCACATCCTATCAAAAAGAGACAGATAAAAATGTCACTACTGCAGACTTTTTTTTGAAAAGTGCCTAACTAATACTTGCAGTAAAATTTTGTCACCATGCTGTATTTGTTTGGGGGCAGCAACTGTATACCGAAAGCTGTTAGAGTAACAGAGGGATGAGGCAGAGAATATTTTATGGAAAATATCCTCAGAAGTTATAAGCAAATGCAGCATAAACATTACTCCAGCCTCTCACTAATCAGCTGAGCTTGAATAGTGGTTATTCCCTCTATCATCTGAAAAACTATTCCAAATAACAGTACCAGCCTTGTTTTAGAGCAAGGGAAAACACTGAAGCTCATTCTTGAACAAAGCTGACATTCATTATGAAAATTGACATTTAAAAAAAAATACAGGGCATTGATACTTAATGTCAGACTAAAGGTTACTAAAATGTAACTTCTTTTAGCAAACTTGCAGATTCAGTCAAACTAGAGGATTTTTCCCTACTATGTCTAATAAGGGTTAACACTCACCAGACCATATCCTTTGGTGTTTTCTGGATTCCTGCAGTAAAGTCACTGTGTAACTTAAGACACCATTAAGTCTTTTTGGATAGAAAAACTTCCTGCTCTCTGAAAATGGGATCTTCTGTAGCCTTAATCAAAGCCAACTGGATTTATGTTGGCTTCTTGCTGTTTGAGCTAATGTCTGTGATGCCATCTACACATGGTTTCGGTGCATCTGCAATGTATAGAAAGTTAGTGTTACTGCATCTTATCTGTGCCAGGCTGTTAGGACCCTGAGGGTTTTGCAGGATCCTGTCTGAAGGAGACGCAGGGCTTTAGTGTCTTCCTGTCTTTTCTCTGCCTCGTTGCAAGCTTTCCTGGGCATAATTGCACCAATGGATTTGGGGACTCTTAAGATGACTCTGGAATACCACACTGAATGTAGAATATCCCTGTGTCACCAAGAACACCTTGGTTCTGTATTGTGAGGAGCAGATGTTTCCCTCATTTTCTAGAGTGAGTCCCTGCAACTTGTGGGGACCTGCATGACCTACCAGATACTCATTTGGGTTGATGGTATTGAGCCAGAAGCTTGAGGGGAAGCTGTGCACCAACTCCTCTCCTGCAGGAAAGCTGCAGCAACCGATGCTTGGTGTCAGCCCCCTGTGAAGACCCCCCAGGAGATAAGCCGACTGTCCCTTCTTCGGTCCTGCTGTGATATGGCAAGCAAAGCACCTACTCTTGATGGCCACTGATTACCCCCAGAAAAAATAAGCTCAGCATGACAGACCTGAAGCTTCAGGTTCACTAGGATGCTTAATGAACAAGGATCAGACTTTACAAACACGTAACCTTTTTAAAAGAGAAGAAATTTTGCCTAGCCCTGTAGGTTTATAGGAAAGTAGAGTGAGGGTTTCCTCTTCAAGCAAATAAGGTAGTGGTAGAAGAAAAGACTTAGCATTAGAAAATTACTTTCCAGAAGCAGTAAGGATGGAATAGGCAAGTGTTAGGTGCTCTCTGGCAGCTGAATGCAATGTATAAATGATGTAAAATTGATTCCAAACCAAACCTCACAAATTTTAGGAAAGTTTGACTCCAAACTTGGTAGCTCAAGCTTGTAACTGAACCTAATGCAGCTTGAAATTAATGATGGCATTTTATTGGCACTTCTGTGTTTCTATGAATTAAACGAACCTTATTGTGTTCACAGTACAGAAAAGGAGTTAAATTGAATATTTGCGGGTAATAACTTAGAATTTGAAACACTTCTACAGTGAAAATTAATCCCATTTTCCTTTTAGCACAGTATAGTTTGGATTTGAGACATAAAGGAGCATAGCTATGGTAAGCAATAATTTAGTTCTCTAATTCACAAAGTTGCTCGGTGAGTCACTGAACCAGATCCCACCACTGACTAATATGTATTTATTTAAATAGATTTCATTATCTCATGATGGGTTTTGTTAATGATTGTGATGGTACATATTTTCACTGTGTTAACCAAAGGTTTGAGGGAATTCCTTGTGATAAATCTAGTCTTGCAGGTAAGCATGCAGCAATAATCAAGACGACCTCACCCTACTCAATTATGTTAGACACTTTGTTTTATTGCCAGATTCAATTAAGTAGAGTAACAAAATAACAGAGTTTAGGGCTGAGATGAGTAACTTATTATTTACAAATTTGCTTGTCAGGCTTTTAAGTCAGAAGGCAAGGAGATTCTTAAGACTTAAACAGTGATTCACCAGTTCCCATCTTGTTTATGCTAAGCTTTTCTCTGGATTGAATTTTTGCTTGCAAATAACAAAATTATAAGCCTTTAATTGACTATATTTAATTCACTTCTGTATATATTGATCTAGGAAAGTTAACAAGGAAAGGGAAAGGATGTAGTACATCCAAAGTGGAGTAGTAGTACTCCAAAGTGGAGTCTGTACCCAAATCGTGACATTCAAAAAGATTTTTGTTTTCTTACACCTTGCACAACAGGAACACAGAGTGGGATCTGAAAATATATATAAAATGTCAAAACAACCATGTAGAAGCTCCAAAGGCATGTGTCTGTATTACCTAGGATCTTGGTGTTGTCATGCACGCAGAAATTGATTCCAAAAGAACCCCACCTGCTTTAAGTTTAGCTTGGCAAACTACTTTAGTAGAGATAATATACTTTTAGCACAGGATGGTGATAAATGGTGATATTAGTACCATTCAGTTTCTGTCCTTAATTTGATGTCTGAGTCAAGCAAAATACTCTGTTTTTCAGTTTGTTTGCAAATAATGATATGATAATGGCCAGTCTTCGCGAACGAAGATTTGGGGAAAGGTCTTTTACCTTTCCAGCCTGCGCAATGGATTTTTTTTTAGGTGAGACACAGCCTGCGCTGAACTGAGCCCACCCTTTAATCCTAAGGTTCATCTGCCGGGGCCAAGCAAGCTTGGACAATGGCAGTGAGGTCCTCAGGACGTAGGTTTGTTTAGAGTGACCTTCTCATAGATGGATGGCCTCACAGGGCTAACGGGCTCCATCTGCCCAGTGGATTCATCA